GACATGTGCAATTCCGATTAATACTCGTTGATAAACAAGTTATTTTAATTAATCGCTAGGTGTTGCTGAGACTGAAACAATGCCGCAACGCAACTCGCACACAAACACATAAGCTACACGCACACACTGTATTACTATATATACGTGCATACACTGGGGCATAAAGTAATGCCAACAAACGAATTATTGCGTGTGTTTGTGTGCGAAAGTTATAATATTGCGATTTAGTCAACGTAAATTCCCCAGCGCTTAATATGTATGTTGTGTGTGTCTGTGTTGTCACTACATTACATTCATGTTCAATACTCGTACATTTTTGTTTAGCATGTTTGGTATGCTTTTGCGTGCTGGAATGGTTGTTTAGCTGCTTCAAAGCTTAAATTTATGAACATTTCGGCTCAAATTCCATTTGATTTTATAACCAAATCACTACTGTTGACAACAAACAGGAGAAACGTTAACGCATTGAAGCTATAACAACCTTTACTTGTATTTTTTATAGCATAAAAGGAGGTAATAAGATGTTTTTCTTGACTTCGATCAGCTCGAGAGTCGAACAAGAACGCGTTTCATACCAAAAATATCCACCAAAATCATTTATGTGGACTCGCGAGATATGTCGAGCTATCTTACTATCTTTCTAACACTAGCCAGACGATTTCAAGTACCATATCTCTCACTTTGTTAATATTTTCATTTATGTATATGTTTTAGAAGGTCGAAGATCGCCTTGAACGAGGCATTCAACGATTTCATGAACCAAATGTTGTGAGAATATCTTGCCAATCGATCGACCAGTTTATGTGGCTGCTCTACAGCTGTCTTATATCGGCGGTTCCGATAAACGCACATATTGTTGGGGACAGAAGAACGTGTGCAAAATTTCAGATCGATATCTACAAAACCGATGGAATACCATAATTTGTCAAAAAAGTGTTGCGGCATTTTCGCCAGTGGGCGCTGAGATCGCGTAGTTCTAGTTTTATTCGTCGCATCGGTTCATGCTATACCTTTTTGGAAAGCTCATTTCACGTTGATTGTCGTTTCTTTTAAGTCGTTCGTTAGTTATAGCGTCGCAAACATGGGGCTAAATAAAGAGAAAATACGGCATATTTTACAGTACTAGTACGATAAAGGCAAAAATGCATCTCAAGCCGGCAATAAAATTTGTGCAGTTTATGGACCCGATACAATTTCCATTTCTACCACACAACGATGGTTTCAACATTTTCGTTCTGCTGTAGAAGTGGTCGAAGATGCGCTACGCTCCGGAAGGCCTGTCGTCGAAAATTGCGATAAAATCGCTGAATTGGTCGAAAGAGGCCGGCATAGCAGCAGCCGTAGCATCGGTCAAGAGCTGGGCATGAGTTTTATTTTTTTTATGAACAATTGAAAATTCAATAAAAATACCGCAATACTTTTTTGACAACCTATTATTTAAAAATACGGTTGATAAGGTCAAGTTTTTTTTCGAACTTTTTAATCCTCCAGTCCCCAGTTTAGAGAGACGAATTACAGTAACGCAATGCTACTTATAATTCCCGTCCTGCTATATGGGGCAGAGGCTTGGACGATGTCAACAACAGATGAGTCGACGTTGCGGGTTTTCGAGAGAAAAGTGCTGCGAAAGATTTATGGTCCTTTGCCTGTTGCGATGAGCTGTACGAGATACATGATGACATTGACATAGTTCAGCGAATTAAAAGGCTACGGCTACGCTGGCTAGGTCATGTTGTCCGGATGGATGAAAACACTCTAGCTCTGATAGTATTCGACGCTGTAGCCGCCGGGGGAAGCAGAGGTAGAGGAAGACCTCCACTCCGTTGGAAGGACCAGGTGGAGAAGAACCTGGCTACGCTTGGAATATCGCCAATCAAGAAGAGAATGCTGCTTATTTATCCATGAAGGAAAGTGTTCCGTAGAAAGCCTGCCGCAATTAAGAGGGCGCTGTGGAAAAACCAACTAGAGCAAATTCTGTAGTGTGTATCCTTGCAGACCCTCCAAACCTGGCTACCGCTTCTTAATGCGGCGAGGCCGACCATTTGTCATGCTGCTCAGATTTCTGAACAGTCTGCCTGACACTGTTGTGACATTGTCTGTAGGTTCCGCACCCACCACTAATCAGACAGAGGTTCCTTTGCTGGCCCTGGTGATTTAGCAACGCATCCCAGCTCTACTAACGTATAACTGTCTTACCATCATTAGCTGGTACTTTCGCCTTCAAAAAGAACGTTTTTTTTTGCTGCTTTTCATGGAGGATGATTCCATTGGTCTGGGTCCCAACACAGGGCCGCTATCTCCGCGACGGTAGTCGCCTTTAACAGTTCCTTAACCTTTGTTAAGAGGTCTAGGCGAGAGTTGAAGGGGCATTACGTTTAGAGCTGACCACCGCAAAGAGGGAGTGCTCTAAACTTTCATCCATCACGTCAACTTAATAATGACGGGATGGGAACGTACGCCAGTCAACTATTTTTGCAGGGTGTCACTTTCACATATTTAGGTGACGGAATACCTTGACCACTAGTTTAGGGATTAAGCAAATTCAAAACTAGCAGTCCTGAAATTATAGCTCGAATCGAAGTCGATGTCATGTCAATGTATCGCTTGGAGTTTTCACAAGACGTGAAGGCTGCAAGTCATTTAGCGGCCGCGACACTTTTCACGAGTCTACTTGCCAGCTTTGGCTAGTTCATCTGCTAGTGATCTGTATGTGCTATGCTGCATCGGCGTCTGACTTGTAAGTCATGATTTTCAGTTTCGCAAATTCATTTTTTATTTATCCGCTACATTTCGTCAGTGGCTCTATGTATTCCTTTGGTAGTAGCAGCAAAATTTGCATCTTGGACTTTTTAATATCCATGCTATGTTCTGCGGAGTTCTTAGAGGCCTCAATGAGTATCCACCCCACCCCTCGACTTTGATTTGGGATGTGTCTCCAGCGGACCACTACCAGCCTAGCTAAGGCATATCTCCTCAAACTTGCTTCTTCAGTTGACTCCTGTCTCCTCGCTGCCACTTTTGCCTCCTTTGTAAGCGTTCCATTAGTTTGGCGGTTACAACTGTACCCTTTTCAGCCGCTTAGTACGACGCTACAACGCATACCTTGTCTTCGCTGGTGTACTCGTATTGACCTTAAAAATAGGTAGTTTCCTGGCAGATGCTTTTTTGGCAGCAACATCTTTGGTATCTCCATCGCTTTCCTGCTTAACAGCTTCTGTTGGCTACAACGTTTGATTTCGGCTGCCGCTAGTGCCCTTATTGAAGCTGGGCCTAGCTTCGCCTCCCTTTCTAGTGCCAGCCTTTGCACCTTGTCCAATCTTCACTTCTGCCTTTGTTACAAATGTTTTTACTTCCTCGGGAAAACTAGTTCCCTCCGTTGTTTTTTTGTTTTTTTTTTTTACAAGAGCCTCGGACTGACCCAGTTTCATTATTTTTGTTGCTCTAGTTCATAGTTTGGACCCACGAGTTTAGTGTAAAGTATGTCCGCTTCCGCATAGCCCTTTCTCTGGGCTATTTAAGGCCCCCCAACTAAGTTGATCTGCGGCTAGCTTAGCATGTCACCATGTCCACTTCGTTCAGGAATTTAACCATAGTATTACTCCCAACAAAAATGTGCCCTATTGAGGAGCAACGAACATCCAGATAAAAAGTCAGACCTTAGTTTGATACTACCCAACTGCAACAAGTGCATACTGTTGACAGCCGGTCACTGCCTTGATCGTAATACTGTGGTATCTATCATTAGCCGCCATCGTCGGGGAGTACTCAGCGGGCGATTTTTACTAACCACCGTTATGTTATTAGGAATTTTAACCTCAGTTGAGAAATTAATTATGAAAATTAGCAGAGTTTAACTAAAGCTTTATAAAATTAAATTAGTTGTGTGGAAATCTCTTCGGAAAAATGTGTGAAATTGAAATAGAAGAGTAATCAATGTACTGCTGCAATTTACACAATACAAAAAATTAATTAATACCGCATATTTTATCGCAATTTCATGACAGTGCTCGAAACATTTTCCACTAACGCAATTATAGCCCAATTTGCCGAATCTCCAAGGACCTTCATTAAGTATTTATACAAATTTTGTGCATAAATCGCAATTTCTCATTTAAAAATGTCCCACAACGATGGCGATTAGTGTGTGCTTAGTGTACTTTTGCTGTTAGTCCAATAAATATCACGAGAGTCATACATTATGTGGCATGCAACAAGCACCATTATTGTTGGAGCAGAAGGGGAATACAAATAAGATTACTGCACAAAAGTCGGATGGAATCGGAAATTGTATAAACAGCGACCAAGTTATGAGTAATGAACTGACGAGCAGCGGATGGCAAGCGGACAGCCGACAGCGGATAAGTTAAAAGCGGTTTTACGTGCCGCACACACGTCAAAAGCGGTTGGGGAGTGCAAAAGTTAAGTATTGTCACAGTGGTTAAGTGTGGCGTGGGTACAGCGAGGCGGAACAGTCGTCGGACGGAGCAGGCGCGGGGCGGCTTAAAAGCTTAATGAATGCGATGGCGTTGCATGCAACCAAAAACTATGTTTGCTGTTCGTTGCAAGCGTTAGGAGCCAGTTTACAATGTTTTGATTCATTAGGCGCAACTATTTTGAGATAGCGCTGTGAAAAGGGGAAATGCTTGGGGTCGCGCTGCGATTGTCAATCTAAATGTTGTGTATTTGCGTGCAACTAAATGGTTTATAACTGCAGAAACAATGCAGCAAAGCAACAACAAGCGCTGCGCGTTGATGACAATCAGACAATGCGCGTGAAGAAACTGACACTTTCCGACATGGGTCACCACACAACGAGCGTGTGGCCTAAAGTCACCGCGTACGGTCAGTGTCGTCAGTGGACTCATTCAGCGCGGTCAGTCAAGCGGAAGTTGAAACGCGGTAACAGTGCGCTTTAGTGCAACGCGTCACGCACAATAATTTCCGTTTGCAATAAAAATAATTTCACTTTCCCCGCGTCGAGAAAAAGCAAAGCGAACGCAATGCAGGGGAAACGCAGCGCGCAACGCGTGCAGAACGCCCGTCTACCCAACACGCTATTGCTAGCGGTATTTTTGCTGCCGCGCTTCAGCGCGTGCACTGCTATAGCCGTAGATACGGCGGACGGTGGCAGCAATAAGCTACAATTCGAGCAACCAGCTCAGCCGCTGCAGGATCACACGCAGACGCATTTTTTGCCAAATCGCACGGGAATTGTGCAACTCTTCGAATGGAAGTTCGCCGATATAGCGACGGAGTGTGTACAGTTTTTGGGGCCGCAGGGTTACGCGGGTGTACAGGTGCGGCGCGTTTTAGATTTATTATCACTTTTGAATTCTATGTACCGTATTCTACTAATAAAACGCGCGCACTTATAGGTCTCGCCCGTCGCGGAGCATTTGGTGGTGCGCTCGGAGTCCATGCAGCAACCGTGGTGGGAACGCTATCAACCGCTCTCATTTCAAATAGTGTCGCGCTCTGGCGGTGAGGCCAAGTTTGAGCAAATGTCACAAGCTTGTAATGCCGCCGGTGTGCGCGTCTATGTCGATGTGGTGCTCAATCATATGGCAGGCGCTTATAATCAGGCGACAGCTAGCGGTCAGCAGTTGCTTGAGGGTTACGCCGGTTCGACTGCCAATGCCAGCTCATATGAGTTTACTGCGTTGCCGTTCACTAGCCGTCACTTTCATAAACCATGTACGTTGACAAATTACATGGATGCTCATGTGGTGCGGAATTGCGAGCTGCATGGTTGGCCCGATTTGAATCATTATCGTCTGGATGTGCGCGCTAATTTGACGGAGTTTCTGAATCGATTGGTGGACTTAGGTGTAGCCGGGTTTCGTGTGGATTCGGCGAAATATATTTGGCCGATTGATATTAAGGTAAGTGTGGGGTGAAAAGAGATAGTAAATTTTAAAGAAAAAATATTAGTTTGTATGTATGTCAAATTTCCGGTCGTTATCTCAAAAACTGGGAGACTAGTGGGCTCCTGTTGATAGAAAGCATTCATGTTATCAAAGAAGGTGCGCTTTGAGGCTCAGGAATGTTGGCTGGATAGAGAGATCCGAAGAATGACGAGCCAAAATTCTCTCTCTCTTTAACTGCATTCCTGCAAACTTGGATCGCTGCATCCTAGAGGCTTCTCTGCTCACATACCGACTACAGATATATGGACGGAGAAACCCAATTAAGTCTATTTAATTACGGAAGGCGCCAGGTATCAGTAAGATCCGTTAGAATCCGGGCTCCAACAAGGTCGATCATTGGCAGTGATAGAATGACAACTTAGTTTAGTCCATTCTGTACCTTAACCGTAATAAGACTCCTCATAAGAATGCTGTGATATTGATAACATTAAGTTAATTCATTAACTCACTCTACTCACAACTACTTATAATCTGTAGATTTCATTATGTCAAATTCACTGACAGTCACAGTCAAACTGCTGAGAAGGTTGTCGTTTAATTTTTATTGTAGCTTTTTGAGCTAAAAGAGGTTATAGAGTGGAAAAAACCAAATAAGCCAGAGGAATCAAAATATTGTGGATTTTTTACTATTACCAATTTTACGCCATTAAATTTGACCTAAGAAAGGCTTTCACTCAATTAAAACTATTTTGTCAAAATGCCATTTTCAGCTCCTCTTCCAGGGCGTCAAAAATCTGAATAGCGAGGCTTTTGATTTTCCCGAAAACGCCCGACCATTTGTTTACCAAGATGTCGTAGACTTAGGAGTCGACTCCGTATCAAAGTAAGTGTATAAAGTAAATTCTAAAAGAAGCTGCGCTGCGTAGTCAGACACCAAATTGATAAAATTTAAAACTGTGACTTATTTTTCTGCCAGAACGGAGTACTCCAGCTATGGCATGGTCACTGACTATTTGTATGCCGCCGTTTTGGCTAACATTATTAATGGCAGGGCGCCGTTAAGCACACTAATAAATTGGGGCCCTGCAATGGGGTTCCTGCCACATCAGCAGGCGCTCGTCTTCGTTGACAGTCATGATGGACAGCGAGACCGTAACCTTTTGGGCGCTAATCAGCTGATCTCCTACAAACAACCAAGGAAATACATCATAGCAACCGCATTCATGTTGGCACATCCATATGGTCGGGTTAAACGGATTATGAGCTCGTATTACTTTGCTGCGCAGCACCCTGAGCAAGGACCGCCATTCGAGGAAGGTAAGGAGCAAGAGGCGGATGCTGAAGCAGATGCCAGTGTGGCAGCAGAAGGTGGTGACGCAGCGGAAGGTGGTGAGGCAGCAGAAGGTAGTGAGGCAGCAGAGGGTAGCGAGAATGCAGAGGGTAATGAGGCTGCGGAAGAAAATGTAGAACCAGCGGAAGGTGACGAACAGGCAGTTGAGGTAGATGAGAATGCGAAAGAGGGGGAAAACGAGACAGCCGAAGTGGAAAGCGAAGCAGCAGAAGTGGAAAACGATGCGGAAGAAGTGGACAATGTGGTAGCAGAGGGTGGTGACGATGCTACAAGTATTGCAGCGACCTCATCACACATACGCTCACCGACTTTTGATGCTTCAAGTGGACGTTGTGAGTATGCCTCTGGTTGGGTGTGTGAACATCGTTGGCCGCCCATCGCACAAATGATACAGTTGGTGAATACGCTTAGCGAAGTGGAGGATGGCGTCATGAATTTTCAAACGGGCGGTCCGAATCACATAGCCTTCTGTCGTGGCAACAAAGCATTCTTTGTTTTTAATAGCGATCTTCAGTTGGCTTATGATGCCGATGTTGAGACTTGTCTACCGAGTGGTACGTATTGTGATGTGATTAGTGGTGGACGTGCGGAGAATGGTGCATCTAGAATGGATTGTACAGGCAAGCGTGTTACAGTCGGAGCGGAGGGTAGAGCGCATATTATGGTGCCAGCTGTGTTGGGCATTGATGAAGAGGGCGCTGCGGTCGGAAGTGATTATGATGAAACGGATGTGGAAGCGAATGATGCCTACGTAATCGCAGCTGGTACGGAAGGCGAATTTGGTGTGATGGCCATATGTGTAGGATCGAGATTAGATAACGAAGCGCAGACAGACGGCGGTAAAACATCGCTGGGTGGAGATGAAGACGAAACTGTAACAGAAATAGTAACAGAAGATGATGAAGAGGACTCGGTTGACGCAGAGAGTGTGACGGAAACAGTGGATGTGACTAAAGAGGTTGTATCTGCTGAAGAACAGGAGGATGCGGTGGTAGAGAGGAAGAACGCTAAGCTTGAGGAAGTCGCAACCAATGCTAGCGTTGAAAATGAGAATGCAGAAGCGGAGACACCAGCTGTAGATACCGCTGCAGCCGATCAAGTAGCTGAGGAACAAGTTAGCGAAGAGGGGAAAGATGAGCAGCCAGCAGTTGACGAAGAAGAGCCAGCTGTAGACGGAGACCAAGAGAAGATGGACGAAACTGAGGGACAAGTTAGCGAAGACGGAGAAGATGAGCAGCCGCGAGTTGACGACGAAGAGCCAGCTCTAGACGAAGACCAAGAGAAGATGGACGAAGCAGCGACAGAGCCAACTGGGGAAATAGAAGTAGCAGTTGAGGATGAGACCGCAGCAACAGAGGCGATTAACAGTGAGAATGTTGTATGTAGCACAGATAACGAGTTAGTCGTAGATTCTTCTTTCAGTGAAGACGCAAGTAATGATGATACAGTCACAGCTGCTGATACAGCTGCAACAGAAGCGAATGGAGACCAATTTGCTCGTAATGTAACTGGAATGCGAGTTGGCTTAGTAAATATAGAGAAAGTCGTTAAGGAGCTCGAAAACAATGCGGGCGACGATAATGGATCAGGAATAGCGACAGCAGTTAAGGACATGGCCAATAGCGTTGCAGAGAAAACAAAGGAGGTAAGTGTAAGATTAAAATATTTTTTATTGGATATGTTTTGCTGTATATAGAACCGGTGAACGTAGCCGCAAAGTGTATGGACGTGAAAGCTGCACTCAGGTTCAGAGAATCAGGCTAATTAGAAACTGCGAGCCTTGACACTTAGGAATCCTTGCATACTTTGATCTAATTCTAAGTTTTTGAAATACCAGGTCGTCGAACCTAACCGTGGCTGTCACTTCTGGGCTCACATACATTCGAAGGAGGCATGGGCGGAACTTGCCGTTAGCTCTAGTTTCAATCTTCATGATCACTGCAGTATCTTTCTTTCAACCGGAGGATATTACCATAAAGCCTTGACATTCGTTTCTCCCCTCACATACCTTCGAGGAAGGCATGGGCGGGAAGGGTCCGCTGCACGGGTAGGGTTTTTACGGGTGCATCAAATCTTGCAAGACAGGTTGATGAGTACGCCATTGGGAACTTTACATTAGCTCCAGTATTAAGATCCCTGACAACTGAAGTCTATTCAAAGCGGAGGTGACTACCATAAAGGTTGTGGATGTGGTGCCCCGGAACACAGCTTCCTTTAAAGGCTAACTATCTCCGATAGTATGACAGTGATATTAATCTTAAGCTCGCTGACTGTGCGCTCGAGCTAAGTGAAAGATTGTCTGGACTCCTTATGTCTATCATCGAGTTATTTTTCTTTTTATTTTATGAGTAGAGTGGCACCCTGTCCTCAACAGTATTGCAGGAAACTGTAAGGTTGATGAGCTTGCTATGACAGGTTCTTCAGTCTCAATAACTGCAGAAGAGGAACGGGTAGGAACTCTATTGCCTTTTTAATGGGTCATTACTGGACTGTTGGGCCTGAGACCAAATAAGCAAGCGCTCATCGTCTGCCAACCGCTGTGCAGTTGCAAAATAATTCTATCCCAGGGTAAATCATAAGTGAACTCTTCGCTCTCAGCAATGTTCACATTGAAAGGTTGAAGGAGTTCTCACTGAACACTGTTCAATCGGTATTCATGCGGTGAGACTAAAAATCTTACCGGATGCATGCTGGATCAGCTAGTTGGAAGAAGATGGGATAAATTCGTCTCAACACTTCCTCCTTGAATGTCCCGCTTCTGCCAGATCAAGGCTCAACCCAGTCTGAATAGTTCGATAATAAGAGGGGTTTTAGAGGTGCTCTGTCCCGCGATTTTCTTATGCGAAGGTAAAGTTGGACTGAACAAAAAAAATGCGGCTTTGCAGTCCAATATGTTATCAAAGGCCATTAAAATAGAGTTTCCAGCTCTGAAAGTGTTCTGTGCTGTGACAAGAGAAGAACATAAGAAATGATTTTGATCTTTCAGTTTCAAAAATGAGCAGCTTCTTGGAGAAAAAAGGATCTATCCAAGAATTCAGCTCGACATATCGGAAACTGAGTGACTGGTTCGCGTATATACAGACAGACAGATGGATAGTCAGACGGATGGATAGACTGATGTTCGGACAGACTGACGTATATGGCCAAATACTTAGCTCATCGTGTTGATCATATATATAAATATAGAGCCTCAGACGTATCCTTCTGTATGAGAGGCTCCTTGTCAAACTTAATATACAGTGTCCTGTGGAGGGTACAAAAGTTTAAACAAATACTAAAAATTATTATTATTATTTTTTATTATTTTTGGTTTTATTTTCTCATCCTCACAGGTCATTGCCAAGGCCGGCTTCACCAACAATAGGGGCACACGCAGCGCACAAAGGTACGAACTGCCCTCGGCGAATTCTTCACTAACAATCAATCCACGTTAGTCATCAATACAATAACAACAACTAATTTATTTACTCTCACTTTCAGCGAACAATTTTGCAGTTTACTGATACTAATCAGCAACATTTTAATAAATTTGTAGAGCACTCAGAGCAAGCGATATGGGAAAAGTGAATTTTCACTTTATTTCATTTATTTAATTTTCTTTTATTATACATATGTATGTGAGTATTTGCCATTTCTACAAGCCATTTGCACAAAATAAATGTAAAAGAAACTAGAAAATTGCAATTGTCAATTGTCGGTTGGTTGTTGTTGTTGGCGCATAATGATCGTTTCCTCAGATAATGTCCACTAAGCAGTTAAAGTAGAAGAAAAAATGAGCAAAGAGCCGGCCAAAAAGGTAGGCAATTCTAAGTGCAGCAACAAAAAACCTTTAGCCTTACCTTTAGTGCCCGGCAAACCCCGCCGCACAAAGCCACTTATCGCATGTTGACCATCAGCGCGCACAATGGCAATCCGCAGCCTCAGCGCCGCGCCGCAATTTAACGTTTACTCCCGCAAGCGAGCGCCAAATCGCGATTGTGGTAATGCTCACTAAGTTGCTATAAATTGAAAACGGAAATAAAATGTAAAGCATTCAAGCAGAAAGGGGCACACCAGCATTGAGTCAACTGCAAATCGAAACGGTGCAATTCAATTTCATTGCATTCCTGGGCACAGCCACTCCATACACACCCAGGCGAGGCGCACTAACTGGCTCATGAATTGAAGAGTTATTTAGTGGCAGGTTCACATTTTGTTGTTGTTGTTGTTGTTGTTGTTTTTATGTAGTGCCATTTGAATTAAAGTAGTTACAAGGCTGTGCACTACACCTCTGTGTGCCTATAGCCTTACTGCCTACCGCTGCTAGCTCTCTCACTCCCTCCTGTGCTCTCTCTCTCCTCGCTAAGTACTCATTTTGTTATCGTTGAGTTCAATTATACCCGTTTTCTGCAACATTACCTTCGACGCTTAGCCACTACTAGCAACTAACAAGCACAATCTAGAACCTACAATCAACAACTACAACAAAAACCACAACAACTACAACACCAACTGTTAAAAATTGTTGTACCTACAAGTGCTAGTGTGTTGTCAACAATCGCAATCTCGCTGCAGAAGTGTCCAAGTGGCTGCCCTTCCTGCATTAGTTTGTATAAATATGTGAGTGTGTGTGCATGTAGGTATGGTATGGTTATCTGGTTTGCCAGTTAGATAGTGAAAAGGCCGGTGTAGGTATTACTCACTTATGAATAAGTACAATGCAGGCGTGTGTGTTATTTTAAGGAGGTTCATTTCCGATATGTAATCTGAGAATCGAAAATTATATTTGGTTTTTAAGTGGTCCTTAAGGAGTTGGAAATAAAAGGTTTGAAGCGGAAAGAAATGGAACGGAAATGGAAATATTTGATTGCGAGCAGTGATGAGCTCTTTTACACGCATGTGATTATCTGAAGGTCTGTACTTAAAGCTTCGGAGCCGGATAATAATGTCATTGCGGACCAACAACCTAAATTAGGTTCGATTATCCAATTGAACTGAATTTAAGACTCTGTAGGAGGGTGTTATGAAATTCACACAAGTGAGCAAAGTTCTCTGAACGCCATTCACATGGGCGCTCATGACATCCGGCCTTAGACGAAGTCTCCTCTGGGTAGCCAAAAAAACAACCGTTTGAAGGCGAGCTAAAGTGGAAAGGCGAATCATCTCCCACTAGGGTGGTGCGCTGAGTTGGGACCCGCCACGTAAAAAATGAAAAGGAAATAACAGCCTCGGACTAGAGACCCCTTTTGATGACAACCACGGGAAACGCATTAAGCATTACAATTAGAGGGAACGTAATCCGGTCCCTTAACTGAAAATCAGCGGCATCTATCTGAGTAATGTCCTCGTAAGAGTTTTCGGCTGTAACCGCGTAAGCGTTGTCTACACCAATAAAGAAGAAGGGCTACAATTGCTGAAACCAAAGAAACAATTAAATATCGATCAAACGAACTGAGACAAAGTGACTTTTCAGACCATTATATATTAGTTAAGATAGCATATTTTATAGAAAAAGTTGACTTTTACGGCTCAAAAAATTAAGACCAAGATCCCTCAAAGATATAGTATCTATCATACATAGTGTGTAACGTTACTGCAATGGTACTAAAATGATAGCTCCGAGCTATTGAGTACCAGATCTATAGATGGCCGGCGATTTATCATGACTGTAGGTTCCAAGTAAACGGAACGGGTCCGGGTTTTGTCCGTTCAAGGACTGTCAACTCGGCATCATTTCTCGAAATTACTTCAGGAATGTTTTCTGTCGCTACAACAAACACAACATCTACTGTGATTTGCGTTTGATGCGCAAGACATTGCATAACTATTTACCTTCGCAAAAGTATTTCTTCCCACAAACTCATCCATCCTAGCACTATTCCGTTGTAGTAAACTCCGCCACATATAATATATGAGAGACTTATCACAAAAGGTAAAAGGTGAAGGTATCGAATGTAAGATCCAGCCGTCTTTTCGTTGAAGCTTAAAATGACTTAGGAACCAATAGAACTCAGGGTAGGAATTTTTAAGTTAAAGAGCTGGGATTAACAGAAATAGTTTAAAATTTATTATAAAATAAAGTAAAGGTTTATAACTTGATGTACTTGATTTGGCATGGAATGCCTGTGCCCAAAGTTCCACACTGAGTCTCCACTAAAAATGGCACCAAGCTCCTTCAACATCAAAGTCATATGCGTCGCTGTTCATAGCGGAATCGCTATGCTGGAGGGAGCATCTTTACTCAGCTCGAAACGGTATTAGACCGAGTTAGATCTCCACAGTCATAGTGCATTCCAGCACTGAATCAATGGACTTCCTGTGCTCTTCCCCTACTGACGGACGTAAGTCGCCAACGTTGTATATTGGGGAGTGAGGCGATTACTTCTAGGCGCTTTGTTTTCCATTCCGCAGCCTTTGCAAAACCGAGGTTGGAATATATTAACCTTTGACGAACGAATAGATATAAGCCGAAGCTGATATTGGCCGTCTCAACAAATATTTGATAGGCTCAAAGCGCTTTCTCGATTTGAAAGGGTCTACTATATAGTAGTTTCACGTACCACAACGAACCGATGTTCTAAGTAGTTCAAGTGTGATTCCTGTTAGGATCGACCTCATAACCTAACTCCACCCCAAACTCCTGCAACTGACATTCGATACGATTTTTGTTGTACTATATGGACACCAGTAATGATGTTCTCTTACAATTAGAGAAAACGGAAAGTTGTCGAGGACGACATGCGTGCTGATTTTCTGCAATTTACATTGGTCCAGAAGGAGCTCGCGGCCTCACATTTATCGATAGTTGAACTACATACTCCAAGCTCCCGGTAGGCCCAGCTACTTAATAGTGACAAGCGAACGGATAGTAGAACTCCGGCCTATACCAGTCTTCAAGGACAGTGAGATAGAGTTAACCTTGTTCCTTGTAAACTCAATGGCTACACAGTTGCCTCTTTCCGTCCACCTATGGCTTGGTACTCAAACTATCCCATCCTGTTTTTAATGACTTTAAGGCTAGCATTGTCGCTCCAATATCGGTGTAGATAGTCATTTTCCTAAAAGAGGCTGTGTTTCAAAGCAGTAGTCCAACAGCAACCTCGACTTGAAAAATGGCCCGTAAATCTGAAACTGGTATTGGTGGATAGATAGAAGACTCCACCAACCTTTCTTCATGTCTTGACTCATCCACAAAAAAGCTTACTACCACTCTCCTATAGCGGCTGCTTCCAACCGACATCCCCTCTGCTTTTCTGATGGTCGAGTAAAGACCGTGGAATTTGTATCCGTTACAAAAGCATTTGTGTTTGCTGCGCCGCTGCCTACAATTCTTTTTTATATGCTTTTATTTCAAAATGTTTGCACATACATACATATGTATATCAGGAGATACTTTCTGTAATGTCAGAAAACAATTTTGTAAATGAAATGCTGCCTAAGTTGACCAATTTCTGCCTTCCAACTGGCCTTCAAGTACCAAATACTTTCATACATTTAGTAGCCCTTAGTGCTTGGCGGGATGTGGAATGTGCAATATGCATAAGAACCGACGCTTTGGCGCCCAGACTTGCTTTCTACTCAATAAAAGCAGCCTTAGAAGCGGCATTCTTTCAAAAACAGCCGCCTCTCTGCCACACCTCAACCAATTACCCGCACTAACCCCACCAATTACTTACTAACCCAATTCGATGTGAGATGTTGGCCAAATGTATGTATTTACTGAGAATCTCAGCACTTGTTGCCAGTCAGTTTGGTCCTGCAACTGGACTGAAGCTTGAATTTATTGGTACCTATGTGCTTGTGAGCTTGTTGTGTTAGGTAGTGGCATGAGCTTGTTTGCCAGCTTGTTGCACACAATGCAACTCGGTTTTTTTACAAAAAAAAAAAAAAAAAAAAAAAAAATAAAACTATTCTTCGCTCAGTGAATTTTTTTCAGAATTCCTGCACTTTTCTTGCAATTGATTTTAAGTGGAAATGGAGTGATTTCATTTGCCAACACTTGAAGGCAACTTATGTGGCAACATGCAGTGTTGCAAACATCTACACACATGTATGTAAGTATGTAGCTGGCTAATAGCATCGACTTTTGTATGCGTAACGGTATTTTGTGGGGATTTTTCTAAATTTATACCGAAGCGTAATAGCTTTGGCCGAAGCCGGCGAGCATTTTATTGAAAGCTCAAGTGTAAGTTCATAGATTGCCTCGTTATTGCAAGTGTGTTTGCTGTTGTTGTTGTTGTTATTATTGTTGCCGGCGTGTAAGCTGTTGCTTGTTAGCGTTGGCCAACAGGTGCTGAAGCGTAATTGAAAAACCTATAGAGTTTGAAAAATCGAAGAATTGTTGCAAAATACCGTAATAGCGTGGAAGGCAGTGGAGTAGCACGCAAAAAATTGCAGTGTGTTGCATGTATAACGGTCAATGGTAACAAAGCTGCAAGCGCTATTTGTTAAGCCAAGCTTCTTCGTCGCTACTGCTCACCTGCGGCGCTGTATACTTTTATAGAATTCGATTATTTCGAAAATGCCAGCATACAGCAGCCACTTGGACACGCCCACTTTGCACCAGCAACGGCTCAA